GGCCATACAAGAAAGAGGGAGCTTCAAGTTGGTTTTTGGAGAAGTAGGTTACATGACCTATAGTTTCCCCAAGGTCTTTAATTCAAGTGAGCTTTGTGACCTCAATATGCAACGAAGCCCCTTCCCCTCTGCTGTCCCCAGCCTCGCAGGCCGCGCGCCAAGGCCAGGCAGCGCTGCAGAACGTCCCACGATATTTAGGGCCTCAGCAACTGCACAGGAGATGCCTTTCCACTGAGATGAGCTAGGAAAGGATGGGTGATGGAAGTGGTTTGGGGAGAGCCCTCCCTCGCCAGGGACTCGGTGGTCACATCAGACTGGCAACGATGGGTTACGGTAGCATGGAGGATTGCAGCATCACGGCTGACCTGCCTTGACACACAGGTATTGCTATTCACCAAACATCAGATAATACAGGAAATGAAGGGACAGTGGTAGTGGTGACGGGGAAGGGGATACAGCAGTAAAACTGTGGGGCACAACACTATTGAACATCTCCATCACGTCAGAAACTGAAATGATCGTAGCACCTCAGAGTGAAACAGCGGCAATATCACGTACTGCGCTTGTTTTAAGGCAGGGACGGCCAACCTTGGTCTGATCTAGGAGGCACGCGGTTCCCTTTGAAATAGCACGAAGGACTCCGCTTTCAACCTCTGCTCCTGTGCTTCCCACGTGAGACGGCAGCATCAGAATCCTTCAGGCAGGAGACAACTGTATTTCTGGAAGCTGGACACACGTAGAAGTTAATACAAAGAGAGAGAATAAAAAAAGAGGAGGGATGAGGTCTGCGGTGCTGGCCTTGCCCTAGCATTTTGCTTCTCTGAGGTAGCCACACAACCAGATCTAAAACAAGCTACCCCGTTTCCACCTTCAGCTTGCAGAAGAGGGGGAAGGGACTCACCAAAACACCTGGACCTTCAGAGGCAGCAGCTCAACTTTACACAGCTATGACACGTGCAAAACTCATCCTTCTTTAGGCCAAATGTTCCCCATCTTCGATTCCTTTTGACTGCCTGGCCTCATTCTCTACCCCTGGGAGCAGCAGATGAAGCTGCCATACGTGAGAAATATGGAGAAGTTCGGGCAGGCTGCAACACTGCACCACCACGGCCAGCACAAATCGGAGGCATTTCTGCTGCATTCATCCGCCTCCTTAGGTGTAGGAAAGGCCCGTGATGATGGAAACTGATGCTGTGACAAGTCTGAAGGACATTTCCAACTAAGCATGTTGTGTGTGGAAGGCAGACGATGAAGCCTGGGAGATGGCGTGGGAAATTTTCACTCGGGCATCAGCACCCAAAACATGACTGATATTTCAACTTCTTGTGCTTAACAAACGGGGGTGAATGAACAGCAGGTGAAAGGTGCTAAGCCGAAGGCCATGATGTTGGAAGTCCAACAGAAGCGATGCAGTCTGGACAGCAATGGGGTAGGTCCTGATGGAGCCATGTCCCCAGAGGAGGACAATCAGCCTTCGTGCCGACTGTCGCTGAATGCTCTGCCAGCAATAACCCTGGTTGAGTCGTCAGCAATGCAGACACCTGTCCCCTGCCAGCACTGAGCCAGAGTCCTCTGAAACCAACAAGTCTTTCCATGCATCACCCTGCAACTTGGCTCAGGATCTAGAAATAGAGCTGAGATCCACTCTCATTTAGCTCTCCGCACAGCAATCAGATGGTCGTTCTGGGTCCCTACCAAACCAAGGCTGAATTTAGATATGGCGTACAGGCGACATGCTCCAGCTTTCATTACAAATCGCCTGAAACTCCCCTAATTTCAGCGACTGTCCAGCTGTCATTATCACCTGTTCAGTTATCGGAGAGCTCCGAGGCTGCTGCATCCCATACAGAACTGGCCTAGCTGCCTGAAACAACACTAACATCCCCTGAAATTAGGAAGGCAGTCCCGTTTCTCCGAAATCTTTTCTACCTCCTGAAAATGTTGGCTATAAATGCAGTCAATGCGGCTTTGGCTGCATTTTGGGTCTTCTAGCACCACACTGCTATGGAATAAAGGGGTAAAATCCTGTCAATTAACAACGTTATAACCTTTTCCTTCTGCTGAGTAACACAAAACTAGAACAAGGTAGAACCTTCCCCTCCTTAGCCCCTCTGCCTCTGCTCTACAAAGGGAAGGCAAAGGTCTGGTCCTGCCCGCAGGGCAGACAGCTCTTGGATGCCTGGCCTCCCTGCCAACATCACATCAACGAACAGCACTGACACTAGCAGAGCAGGGAGAAAACGAGACCAGGTTTTGAGGCCTGTGGAAATCTCAGGCCTGGGCTGTTTAGTGAGGTGGTGGCAGCAGCCTGCACTTCAGAAGAGGAGTCAGGGGATGCTATTTCCTAGCACTTGTCGCCTGGCTCCCTCACGCCAGTCCTGTGGCGATGCTCCATTCTTGTCTGCAGCCCCATACAAGGCCTGGACAAGGGAAGAAGATTCTGCAAGCCAGTGGAAGAGCTGGCTCGGGCTACGGCCTGGCCTCTCCGTCTCCACCGGGACAGGATGCACGACCTCCTCCCTTCCCCACTGGGGCAGGACACCACGAGGAGCCGTGGCATGCTGTTTTGCTTGGCACAGTGCGCGCGGGTCTGCGTTTGGCCGGGATGGTAGATCCTGCTTGGCTGGTTCTTGGCACCTGTGTGCCCCACTGGCTGAGGGTGCTGCCGAGCCTTGTCAGGCTCCACCTGAAATCTCAAGGAGGTGGAGAAGCAAAGCCCTGGGCAGTGGCCAGTCCTGCCAGTGCTGGCTCCTCCATCAGCCTGTTATTGCTCCTCTCCCCTCAGGGGAACGTCCCCATGCGTGGCAGAGTCAAAGATGCATCAAGAGAAGAGACTGAATGGAAAACTCCCTCCCCTCCCCAGGTGTAGCAGAGTTTCCGATCATCCCTTCCCCTCCCCTGTCCCAGGCTGATTGAAGGCAGCGGGGCTGTGAAAAGGAGGTGATGAACTGACCAGCTGCTCTTCTGCAGCCCTCCATGTTACTGCCCAGACTGAAGGCAGATCACCTCCCACAAGTCAGTCCCCTTTCTGGGCCAGAGAGTATCACAGTCTCAATGTCTCATCCCATGTCTCTCAGAGCAGAGACCCTTTGACACCATGCCCTAGTCCTCAGGTGCCAGCTGCTTGCTTTGCTTGAGGGAAGAGCAGTCATGGAAGCTTTTTTTCCCCCACTCCAGCTCCAGTTTGCCCTTCAGGTGGATTTAGGCTGGGCACGGTCTTCCCCGTCCCTTTGCAACAGGACCTGGGTGAGAACCTGCCTAGGGAAATGGGCTTTTTCACTACCCCACACTCCAGGATGGTTAATTCTCAGCATCCATGTGAACCTCCAAGATGAAAGCAGGCCGGAGTCTGGTCATTGCTTTCTCCGAGCTGCTGGGGAGAGGATGCTGCTGATGGAGGTAGAGATCCCAGTGCTCTCCCGGCCCTGGGGAAGGAGGTGGACAGAAAACCACCCCTTTCCAACCTAGGGCATGGTGAAGGAGGCCATTGTAAACAAAACCCTGAGCCAGGCTGGCCGTGGGAGAGTAGTGGCTGGCCTCAACACCTGGGGCCGAGGTGGCGGGAGGGTGTCACAGCCCATGCATGCACCACATGTATGCACTTAAAAAAAACAAAGAATTTTGAGTGCGTGTGGG